TGCACGACATAGGAAAAACCGGGTCAGGTTCAAAAATCGGGCGCGGGTCTAATACTACGAGTCGGTTTCTCGGGATAAAAACGAACGCTCGATAATTAATTTAAAGCCGAATAAATAAATATATATATAATACACATTTTATTATAGCATTAATAATACACAATTAGACACATAATAATGTTTATAAACAAATAAACATTTAGACATATTTAGGCATTTACCAATTTTAATAATAATAATAATAATAATAATAATAATAATAATAATAATAATAATAACATTTAGACATTTAATGAAATTTAGGCAATTAATTATACTAATAATACCAATAATAAAAGAAATACTAATTTAAATAATTCCCAAATATTATACGAATAAACGGGGCATTACAACTTCCCTCACATCTCAAGCATGTGTTTCTTGATGACGAGAAACGGCAACCGGTGATAATTTTTGCCAAACTCAATCTAGAAGAAGAAAAGGAGCTCGTTGGGGTGTTACAGAAAAATCGAAAAGCAATCGGTTGGAGTCTTGGTGATATCGAGGGCATCAGCCCTTCCACGTGTATGCACCGGATAATAGAAGAAAGAGCTAAGCCATTTCGCGATAACCAACGAAGGCTAAATCCGAATATGATGGAGGTCGTAAAGAAAGAGATATTGAAACTTCACTCTGAGGGGTTAATTTACCCGGTGGCTAGTAGCGATTGGGTCAGCCCGATCCACGTGGTGCCTAAGAAAGGAGGCATTACCGTGATAGAAAATGACCAAAAGGAGTTGGTTCCTACCCGAATCACTACCGGGTGGCGGATGTGCATTGATTACCGACGACTGAATGCGGCAATAAAGAAGGATCATTTTCCGCTGCCATTTATTGACCAGATCCTTGACAGACTATCGGGCCACCAGTTTTATTGTTTCTTAGATGGACTCTCGGGCTACTACCAAGTGGCCATAGCACCGGAGGACCAGCCGAAGACAACGTTTACGTGCCCTTTCGGCACGTTTGCTTTCAGGAGGATGCCTTTCGGCTTATGCAATGCACCTGGCACGTTTCAGAGGTGCATGTTTTCCATTTTCTCATACATGCTCGAGGATTGCTTGCAGGTATTTATGGATGATTATTCTATTTTTGGTGATTAATTCTCTCATTGTCTCCATAACTTATCTCGTGTCCTTGAACATTGCATAGAGTCAAATCTTGCTTTGAGTTGGGAAGTAAGTCATTTCATGGTTAGGAGTGGAGTTGTCTTGGGACATGTTGTTTCTAATAAAGGGATTGAGGTAGATAAGGCAAAAAATGACGTTATTGAAAAACTTCCTCCTCCTGTGAATGTTAAGGGAATTAAGAGTTTCTTGGGGCATGCCGGATTTTATAGACGTTTTATTAAAGATTTTTCAAAAATTAGCCGGCCTTTGTGTCACTTGCTAGCTCAAGATGTGACGTTTATTTTTATGATGCTTGCTTAAGTGCTTTTAATGAATTGAAAAATAAGCTTGTAAGTGCCCCGATTGTTATAGCTCCTGATTGGTCGCTTCCTTTTGAAATAATGTGTGATGCATCTAACATTGCAGTAGGTGCCGTTTTGGGTCAACGGGTTGATAAATTGCTCCGTGTAATTTATTATGCTAGTTTGACCCTTAATAGTGCTCAACAGAATTACACCACCACTGAGAAGGAGCTTCTAGCCGTAGTCTTTTCATTGGAAAAATTTCGATCTTACATTTTGGGTTTTAAAATCATTGTTCACTCAGACCACGCAGCTTTGAAGTACCTTCTGAGCAAAACACATTCTAAACCACGACTCATTAGGTGGATTTTGTTATTGCAAGAGTTTGATGTAGATATTAAAGATAGAAAGGGTTCCGAGAACGTAGTTGCTGATCACTTATCACGCATTGCATCATCTGATCATACATCTTCATTGCTTGTGCATAGTTTTATTAATGATTATTTTCCTTATGAGCATGTGCTTGAGGTTTCAAAGAGTGTTTGGTATGCTGATATTGTGAATTATTTATGTTGTGGAATACTGCTGCCTAATCTCTCTTCCCAAGAAAAAAAGCGATTTGTTTCTATATGCAAGAGTTACTTTTGGGACGAGCCGTACCTTTTTAAGATAGGAAAGGACGAGGTGCTCAGGAGATGTGTGCCAGAGGAAGAGCAAGTTGATGTCCTAGCATTTTGCCATGAATTTCACTGTGGAGGACATTTCGGAGGTCAGAAAACTGCTTTCAAGGTTCTTCAGTCAGGTTTGTTTTGGCATGCCCTTTTCAAAGATGCTCATATTTTTGTCGTGCTTGTGACAGATGCCAAAGAATTGGGAATATCGGTCCTAGAAACGAGATGCCCCTTGTAAATAATTTGCAAGTAGAAATTTTCGATGTATGGGGTATCGACTTTATGGGACCATTTCCTAAATCTTTTGGTTTCGAGTACATTTTACTCACCGTAGATTACGTGTCCAAATGAGTCAAGGCTATCCCCACAAGGACATGTGATGCTAATGTGGTCATCAAGTTTTTGCGCAGCAATATCTTGAGTAGGTTTGGATTTCCACGAGCGATTGTAAGCAACGGTGGCAAACACTTTTGCAACCGTATTTTTGAAAAGTTGATGAATATGGGATTTCTCATAGGGTGGCTACCCCGTACCATCCTCAGACGTCGGGACAAGCCGAGACGAGCAACAAACAGATAAAAAATATTTTGTAGAAAACCGTGAATTCTTCACGGAAAGATTGGTCGACTCGTCTTGACGATGCGCTATGGGCCCAAAGGACAGCATACAAGCGGCCTAAGCAATGCTCCAGCAGTTTTCATGGACCTGATGAACCGTATTTTCCATCCCTACCTTGATCAGTTTGTTATTGTCTTCATTAACGATATTCTTATCTACTCGAAGAGCCAGAAGGAGCGCGAGGAGCATCTGAGGGTGGTTCTCGAAACACTCAGACGAGAAAAGTTGTTTGCAAAATTCTCCAAATGCGAGTTCTGGCTCCAGCGAGTAGCTTTTCTGGGTCATGTGATTACTCAGACAGGTATCGAGGTGGATCCTTCTAAGGTCTCAGCTGTTCAGAACTGGTCGACACCGAAGAGTCCGTCCGAGGTTCACAGTTTTCTTGGTTTAGCTTGCTACTATTGCAGGTTCATCGAGGGCATTTCTAAAATTGCCCTCCCACTATCCCAGCTGACGAGGAAGTCTGTGAAGTTCGAGTGGACTGATCGTTGTGAAGCGAGCTTTCAGGAGATCAAGAGGAGATTAACTTCAGCACCGATGTTGATTATTCCCGATCCTTCTCGGAGTTTCACCATCTTCAGTGATGCTTCGAAGCAGGGACTGGGATGTGTACTCATGTAGAACGGCCAAGTCGTTGCCTATGCTTCACGTCAGCTTAAACCGCACGAACAGAACTATCCGACGCACGACTTGGAGTTAGCCGCCGTTGTTCATGCTCTCAAGATCTGGCGACATTATCTTTACGGCGGTCGTTGTGAGATTTTCACAGATCATAAGAGCCTGCAGTACATCTTCACGCAGAAGGAGCTTAACATGAGACAGCACCGTTGGCTCGAGCTCGTCAAAGATTACGATTGCTCGATTCAGTATCATCCGGGGAAGGCGAACATCGTTGCCGACGCCCTAAGCCGAAACGTGAGGGGTGACTTGACGTACGTCGTTACTCAGCAAAGTCCGTTGATTCAGGAGTTCGCCCGGATGCAGATTCAGGCGGTCGATGCACTTCCCACAGCCATTTCGGGGCGTATCAGTGCCAGTGTTAATTCCATGTAGCTTCAGCCGACGCTGAGAGAGAGAATCCGGCGGGAACAGGCTTCTGACGAGTTTGTTCGAGTCATGGAGGCCAAAGTCCGCGCCGGAGGCGTCGGGGATTTTCAGCTAGGTGCCGACGGTGCCTTAGAGTTCAGAGGCAGGATCGTGGTCCCGAAAGTCGAGACGTTGCGGAAGGAGATATTGTCAGAGGCTCACACCGCACCCTATCTAGCCCATCCCGGGAGCACGAAGATGTATCACCACCTAAAAGGGTCGTTCTGGTGGCGAGGAATGAAGAAAGACGTCGTCGAGTTCGTTAGTAGATGTTTTACCTGTCAGCAAGTTAAAGCCGAACATAAGAGTCCGATCGGCCTCCTGCAGACACTGCCGATTCCGAGGTGGAAGTGGGAGGAAGTCACGATGGATTTCGTTACGGGATTACCGAGGTCGTCTGAACATCACGATGCTATCTGGGTCGTTGTCGACAGATTGACTAAGGACGCTCATTTTTTACCCGTGTCGATGAAGATGTCTTTGGATAAGTTGGCTGAGATTTATACCCGTGGGATCATTCGACTCCACGGAGTGC